TTATCTTAGGAATAATAATGGCTACTTTGATCTTTTGATTCCTCTTAGTATGATTTTTGGTTTTTCCGAAGACTATCGTAAAAAAGCTGTTAATGTAAAGCATGAACTTATACTCACAAGATCTAGAAATGATTTGAATGCAGTTTTACAAAGTGAAATTCCTGCTGCAGAACCTAATGGAGTGGCTACTTGGGAAGACTTCAAAATATTAATATTAAAACTAGAATGGCTCATCTCTTACGTTCTAATGTCAGATGCGCATAAAATTCGTCTACTTAATTATTTGCAAAAAGAGAAATTTGTATCTATGAGCTATCGAACTTGGGAACTGAATAAATATTCACTTTTACCTACTACATCGAAACATATATGGACGGTCAAGATGTCCAATCAGTTAAAAAAGCCGGGCTATGTTATACTAGCCTTTCAGACAAATCGTAAAAATCAGAGAGGTTTAAGTTCTTGCCAGCTTAATCATTGCAATGTAAGAAATGTAAGACTGTATTTATAGTGACAATATTATTATTATGGAGGTCTTAATATAAATACAACAATCATTTTGCATTGTTATTTGACATGCTTGCAAACTTTCAGAATTCATATAATGGTAAAGATCGTGCACCTTTGTTAAGCAAATATCAATTTCAACATGCTGTAACTTGACTGTTCTTAACAGTTCTAAACAAAATGAGTCGTTAAAGAACGCTTCCGTAGATGTGAGATAATAACTTGAATCTCACGGCAATTTTCCTAATAATACATCAGATTATTGCTTAATTTTACATGATTGTATCGTTCAGAGCAGTCCCATAAGTGGGAATGTTAAAAAACTTATGTGACGCTATAAGACACGACGCATGACACCACAAACTTTATTAATCTGTTAACCACCATGGAAAAAGGTCATAGCAATTGGACTAGAGAAAAAGAAGAGAAGAGAAGGCAAGAAGAGTGGAAAAAATTTGAGAAGAGACACGCTGATGAATGAGAAGAAAAAAAAGCTAGGGAAAAATCAAAAGATCATAAATTTTGTAAAATCCTTAAAAATAAGAAAATCAACTTGCTAAAAAAGATATTTATTGATCAACATGTCTCATAAGCCAACCATTAGCAAATTCACTACTGATGTTAAATATCAAATACTTTTAACTAAGAATGATGATAATGACAGAAATAAAAAATCTTGGCTGAAAAATTTAACAGAAAAGTTCTGAACTAATAAATCATCTGTTTCTGAATGTTAAAATTATGAACGATTCAAACAATAATTTAAGATTTTTATAAAGAGAATAGGATAAAATGGAGTACATCGTAGACATGCAAGCCTTTAAAAAGCCTGGAAATGATTGCGTGCTTAAAGAATTAGCTATTCTACCGCTCCATCCGAACGATGCTGAAGTACAAATGTATCTTTTTAAAGCACTCTTTTCTTGGCGTAAATTGTCATAGAAATATAAAGATCAAAATTTATATCTTAAACGTAACTATCATGGACTAGCCTGGAGCTCAAGCAATATAGTACACTGAGATTGGGAATATTCTACGAGAGAATCTTAAAGTTGCCACCAAAATTTTTGTGAATGCAGAACTAAAACAAAAGTGACTTGAAAGATTTGGATTTAAATTTACTGATATAACAGATAATCCTTTATTTGAGCTCCTAAAACTGGTTACCAGTTGTCCTCACCATAATGGATCTTACAAAATCATGTGTGCTCTTCACAATGTCAAACGCATGAGAACAATGTAATTCGTACTTTGCAAGTTGTAATTCAAAATAAATTTTCTTAGAAATAAGAATAAATGTTTGAAGATTTACCATTATTTTCCTAAAAAATAAAAATCCACTCCTTGTCCTACCCACTCTCATCATACATTATACATTTTAAATTAAAAATCTTTATAAAAGTATATGCATACACGCATCGTATGTAAGTATTTATCTATGTATGTAGATGAACATGTAGATGTGTACATGTATTACCTTGGAAAGGTAACACTTATTTGTCATACCTCACAGATATAAGCGTGTGGTTGGGACTCTCATCCATACATACAAAAGAACACTCTTTACTATAGGCTAACCAGAGAGAAGAAAGATGTGCACAACCCCTAGCGCTTCGTGTAGAGTCGTGGCTGTCCGCGCACGCTCGCGCACGTGGGCAGGGAGGTGTACGTATGCTGAATTTGGCGTGTGATCGTATCTGCCTAGTTTATCCACTTGTAGGCTTTTTCATAACTTTTAAACACGTCGTGTAAGACATTTAGCCGCAAACAAACTCCACCCTTGTTAATGACTTGCGCACTTAGTGCTTGTTTTAAATATTTGACATGCGATTTAGCCAATACTGCTTTAACGGGCACAATGCTGACTGTTCGCTCAGCCATGATTACAACTAATGAAACTCGTTACCCGTGAGCTGGCAGTAAAATTACTCAAAACAATATTACTTTCGGCTGCGTGATCGGCGAGGAGATTGACTCCGTGGGTGCTAATGCGACTGAAGAGGAAGCACATTCCAGCAGTTAGCTTGGTATAGCGACAGATATGTTGATTCAAATGGTCCAGTGATAGGTCAGTGACTTCACAAAAATGGCTTTATGTGTCACTTTAGGGGTCATGAGTGTAGACCTTACTGGAGGCACCAAAATGTCTTGTTTCTTCAGACGTCCCTCGAAGCTGGGAGACCTAAATATTTCAAAAAAGTGATATTAAAAAAACGATCAAGAAAAATCGTGCCTATTTGAACGACTACCAGCAATCCGTGTTATCGCGCAGACGACACATAAGGAGCACTAAAACGTGGGAAAACTTGAATCCAATGGTCGAAGAAACAATTTGTTTTAGAATTAGTTTCCTGAAATAATATTTATGCACATCCGTGACAATACGACCAGAACTAATCATGTACGAAAATCTACAGTCAAGTAAATCTCTTACTCACTGAATCCTTGACTGTATGCTATCAAACATCAAAAATAACACACACCAAAAACCATGCATCGGTACAAATCAGGGACCAACGATACTAAGGACAATGGCAAAGGGCTTGTCTACGCGGAGTACATAGACTCGAGAAAAGAGCCCTTTACTAAGGTGTACCTGCAATGAACGCCCTTGACGACACGTAGAATCAAACGCCACTTATTTACTAGACCAGAAACTACCATCCTCTGAGGGAGCGTTTGGCTGAGCCACATCTCGCATCTCAAGACATCCGCACTCTTCGAGGTTATGAGATCATGCCTCACATGATGACTATAGATATTGTTGTCAGCATCTCTCACCGACTCAATCATACGTGTTCAGCTCATGTTAAGAATGGAGAATGCCTTTTTTGTTTGGTGGCAGCGATCGTATGAAATTTTTTCGCTGATTTGATTACCATTTAAAAGTGTGACCTTGTGTACTGTTTTGTCGCGACTCAAAGCATAACGATCTAATCCAGATTGATTGACCACTTACCACGCTTAGTGGAAACGATGTACACATGCACTGACGAAGTAAGCCACGTTGATTTGCCTTGTCCTTGACTCTTCCCTTTTTTTGCAGTTTAGCTGCCTGAACAAGGAGAGGAAGGCCCAAAAACAGACGCGGCGCATTTGCTCACCCCTTCTTTTACCCGCTCGACTATAAGTTCGTGCCACCTCTTGGCCGTGCCACACCGTATTAATATGTATGATTTTTTCATAAATGTAAGATCTACTACAAACAATTCAAGAAAAACCAAGTGTGAGTCTCGGGATCCCTGGCAGAAGTGAATTTTTTAACTTAAATGTTATGAAACTTGGTTTAATAAAAATTGAGAAAATTAGAGTGCATCTTATTTGAGCAGATTTTCAACAATCCCATATTTGTGTAGAAAAAATTTTAATACTTTATTATATTTGAGCTTGCGCGTGCTTAAAATACATATAACTTTATATATTACTTAGGGATTCATTACAAAACAGCTTAGAGTTTTATTACAAAAGCCCATTAATGATTTTGGAGACTGTGGTACCTTTAGTACCTCAGTAAGCTTCAAAAACGTAAGAAATGGCAAATTACAAATGTTACAACTAAAATGAACTCTATAGCTATTGAAACAGATAAAAACTTACCTTGTGCCCGTTAATAAATAGTTACTGAAATATATTGGGATAATAATGGAAACGTAAGGAGATAAAACATATTTACATGAGAATAGAAATGTAAGAAGAATTGGAATAAAAAAAGCAAAGGGTATTTAAAAAAAGAATGTTATACTTATGTTATTTAACAGATGCAACGGAATTCCGAAAAATAAAAATTAATGTTCGTACCTCATTTTATTGCCACCACTTTGATTAGGTTATTGACAAAGTGTTGCTACTAAATTTTCCAGATTATTGAAAGAAAAATGTTGGTTTTTATCTCTGAAATCATTCTTAGAATTGTATTGAACGTGCCCGCATTTAGTATAAAATAAGTTTTCCACGACGTTCAAACTATTAATGCTCATATCTCATGGTTATGGTAAGCATTAGTTGGAATGAAATTTCAGGTGACCTTTTATAGCACGTTTTTTTCCGAGCATACTTTTGTTACAATTGTGTAACTTATTGTTTTAAGTTTTGTGTATTAATATTTTTCATGTAATAGGAAGTCTTATATTTTGGTATGTTTAAGCTAAACAGTTTGGCTCGCTATTGGAATAAGTAGAATACGAATATAAGAGGGCGAATCTTTCACCTAAAGATTATAACCTGCTTTTATTTCAGCTGGTCAGAGAAAATAACAATAAATTGATAAGTCCCATAGTAAATTTTTGAAAAACGTAATGAAAAATTTCTAGGTTATATGATGGTTCTGAATGTTAATGGAATATCAATATTATTTAGAAATTTACCCATTGGAGTTAACTTATACATAAAACTCCAGTATAGTATGTTGACTCATACATGAAAAAAACTAGTAGTTAAATGGTAAATTTTATTATTTTTTAATTATTTTTTAAAATACTGCTTTGATTTCTTACCTGGCATAAAGTAAAAGCATAGTACAAAGATGACATATTGCTAAGTGAGGATTTGTATTGTTCCGGAAATAAAGCAAATATGACTTGAACTAGGTCAGCGATATGACAAGAAAATTCTTGTTGGATTGGTTGAGAAACTGGCGCAGGCTGACCAAGTGACCGGGCTAAGTTTTTTCGTGATACAACTATAGTATATGATAATGATCCAAGTAGTAACCAACACAGTAACCTTATATGATTAACACAATCTAGATATTCTCTAGCACTAGAACAGTAATAATACGTTATTAAACGTCAAATTTTTATTAATCTTTTAACTTTAAAATAATATGTTAAAGCCATAAATATAATGTATTTTAAATAATATGTATTTTATGTAACAATAATATAATATAAAAAACGTTGTCTTGTGTTAATCTAATTAATTATTTAAAATTTTTGAAAGAAGAGTAGTCAGAGAAAAGGTTAGAAGGCATTGAATTTTTTAACTTACTTATAGTTTAATTATGCAGAACTAAGTCTTCACTGATAACAGCTTTGTACACATTATGACAAAAAACAGAAGAAAATGTTTAAAGAGAGCAGGTCTACTTATTAATTTTAGTAACTAAGCTAGTGGTTTGCATAATGATAAAAACAAAGATCATACATTTTTTGGAAACTCTGTGTTAACATCTAAAAAGGTTAGAAATAACTCTATTAGTTCTCTTATTTGCTCCAACAAGTTTGTCATATTTTTACTAAGACATTGATTGTTATTTAATGTTAGTTATTTTAATCAAATGATAAAGTACTAATGTAATTTTAAACAATTAATAACATACAGAAGGAATCATGGTTTCTCTAAAAAAAATTTTTCAACATTAATATCTATTCCTCATTGATTTTCCAATATTAAAAGTTTCTTGTATACCAGCATAGTCGCTAATTAAAACGTTGTATAACTTAACTTTTTTCGCTTTAACTATGCAATTCTAAATATAAGTATCTTATAAATAAAACAGCTTTAAGGCATACCTGAAAAAATATTTTTTCTCTTAAAATTCCAGCTTTGCTTATAATGCAATAGTATGAATAGATGAAAAAAACAATTAAACTTTTTAAGACTGCAATTTCTAAGAATGTCAAGATCTGTGTCAGCAATACACTTCTATAATTATACTCCAGGTTAATAATAATAAGTAAGAATCATTTCACCTGAAAATAATGTACACATATCAAATTCATTTTTAGTAGTTTGGAAGTTTACATTTTGATTTTTAGGAATCGAAAGGACTAAAATGCAAGACATTGATTTTCACACTACTTGGATTATACCTGGTATCTTAACGTTATTGTTTAGGTTCTAGGTTCTATAGATCTACAGTTACAACCTCAATCTTTATTACAATAAATCATAATTTGCTGGGCATTATTGCGGTACTGGTAATTTAGAATCCTGTATAGTGACTTTCTACTGTAAGGTGTCAGAAACTAAGTAAAAACCAGACTCCTTTCTAACCTACATGAATTATTAGTTTTTGCAAAAATAAATTAAGTATAGCCCACGTGTGTGGTATAAGTTTTTTGAAATCTAATAAACTAATTTTGGATCACGTCAAACGGCATGTACAGACATTTATAATGGATTATATCTGTATGATGTACGTGTAATGTTTTTTAGGAATGATGGGTATTTATTTCTTATTATCATTCTTAACTACTTAAAAACTAATAATAAGAATTTTTTGTTGTTAGCTTATTTTTGAATATACAGAAACGCAGATTGTTCGTTTTTAAGTTTACTAAGACTACAGTCTTACAAATGTCAATACCATGGTCCACAAAGAAGTACTTATAAAGTACTAGTTATAAAGCGATAAATATAATTTTTTAGATCTTGTCAACAACGTACACGTATTAGGCCTATTCTAAGTAGCTTAGAAGTCTGCACTTCAATTTTTAATCCATCGGGTGAATCAAAATATACATTATAGGCTTCCACACTACCCACTCGAAGTGTGCCTGGTTAGTTACCGTTTTCATTAGGGCTTCATAGATTTGAAGTTAACAGTTTACATGTTATTTACTATTATAAGTGTTAGCTACAAACGATTTCCGTACTGATAAAAATAATCGAGTAGAATACAAAAGAATTATAAGTTAAAACAGAATAAAAATAAATTTATTGATGATAAACGTAAACGTGCGATTGATACATAGCCGTAAAAGAAACAGTATTTATTTATAGTTAAAAAATTATTTGTATTCTAACTAAATTGATGTTTGTTTTAGGCTCTGCTAATCAGATTCTGGGCCCAGAGCGTTATCACATAATACGCTAGGGGCAGAAAGCAGGGAGTGCGTCTTAACTGAGTCGTTATGTTTAATTATCCAAAAAGTTTGAATATAGGTTAAAAAGTTGACGTCAAACTAAAAAACACTAACATTTGAGATGATCATGGGATAATACACTCTCCACGTACTGAGATTTTGACTTGAGAAAACTAGGATAGATGGGAAATTCAAGTCCATGCACTGCTCGTGAAGAATGACATGTGAGGATATGTATATAGAGACACAGTTGCTTCTAATTTGGAAGGAACTGATGGCACCACCAAAACTGCAGTGGAGAAAATAGACAAAATATGTCTAGCCAAGGATTACATGGTAAAATTTGAACTACTTTTATTCGTGTCTTTCACGCTTCTATTGGGTGTAAAAGGATGCATCACATCAAACGACAGAAAGCTACAGTGTAAATATGGCTCAAAAGCACCGGCTTAGAAAGCTGCTCTTCATAAAACACTTACACAGCTTAATTTGTCTGATTGTAACAACAGTGACACACTTTTTACTATTGTTTGATGCAAAGAACGAGCTTAAGCTGTCGGGAGTTACACTTAAGCACGACCATAATGCTACTATAGAGCCTACCTCTCTCTGACGAAAACTTCCACTGCACCATCGTATCAAGAGTCGAGCTCCCTAAGATCAAAGGATTAAATATTCAAATAAAAGATGAATTTAGTCCACGTCACTGTAAAAAGAAAGCCAAAAACAAATCGGCCATGCTCGTTAAACCAAATCATGCAAATTAGCTTAAAAGCCGCACCACAAATCATCACACATTGCATCAATAGAATAAATACAAATCACAACAGTATCGCAAGCCAAAATATAAATCTGGTTATGGTCATCAAAGAGGGTATAAAAAAGCTCACTGTTACACACAAAAACATTAACTCAATTAACAAGAAGAAGAAAAGGACAAAATATCCAGCATATGCTTTTTTGTAAGGAATTCAACAAAAGAAAAATGGCATCTTAATAGCAGTACTAATAAGTTTAGTCTTTATAGCCAAGACTAAATGATAGATTTTATGAAAACTTCAAAAAACATCAAGCAGTAATCGTTAGCAGCAGAGGTGAATCCTGAGCCATAGAAAAACGTGTAGGCAATCTATACTTCATGAATAATATAGAAAAGTCATCTTACGCCCTTGATAAGCAAAAAACAAACCAGATATGCATCTATGGAAATGTCGTTTAGGATATTTAAATGCTCGTGGTCCATCACTCATAACAAAAAGAAAATGTGTCAAACGCATGGATCACATCAAAGCGCATGTTTGAAGCAGCTGTAAAACGTGTACAGCAGCTAAGGTGACAAGTACACCATTTCATGGTCAAACGTAAGTATCCAAATAGCCGTTCGGGATAGTACACACTGACGTATGCAGCTCCATGCGGACTGTTTCGCAAGGCAGATCAAGGAACTTTCTTAAAATTTTCTCGGAAAACCTACAGGCCCCCTACTGCCGTACACAACTTTTAGAAGAACCCATCCATAGACCCCCAGCAACCCCCTACATTGTGAGACGATATCATCCCTTATTATTACAAGCTCTTTATTCCTAAAAACTTTTTAATACCCTGCACAATTTAAAGAACTTTTTGTTAAAAAGTTTGTCTTATATATAATTTACATAAATAAAATGCTTAAAAAATTTTTAAACTGCTTTTAAGGTATTGCTAATTGCCTGATCGTAACTTTTTTAAAGATTTTTAATAAATATACTTATCATAATGTCAAGTAAGTATAGTTCTTCTACATAATAAATTTATACTACTGCAATATGCAACCAACATAAATTTGAGTATCTCAACTCTAATTCTCGCCATTAGTCCTACTTTTCACGAAAATGCAATTTAAACAATTTAGTAACGCTTACTGAATTTTTTTGTTCTCTTTGTTTTTTCCATGCAGTGCATATACTTGATCTAAAGAATTTGTCATAATGTACTTAATTATAAATCTTAAATTTTTCCATTTAAAAAAAATTTTGTGTTTTACATTTCAATCCTGATAATATTCTTAGAAAAACTTTGGAAACTCTGTGTTAACATCTAAAAAGGTTAGAAATAACTCTATTAGTTCTCTTATTTGCTCCAACAAGTTTGTCATATTTTTACTAAGACATTGATTGTTATTTAATGTTAGTTATTTTAATCAAATGATAAAGTACTAATGTAATTTTAAANACTTTGTCAAAATTTTGGCCATGAGATTCAGAAGAATTTATTATTTATGGTTATTAAAAATTCTAACAATAAAGGAAATTGCATTTGGTACAAAGTAAAGGGTGATAAAGATATATTTCCAGGATTTGAAGTTATCTTTGGGATCAAAACTTTTTTCCGATTTTTTTACTTGTTATTGTTTAATCTGCAACGCTACATTAAAATGATTTTGTAGCTTGTAATCTTTTTTTATTTTATAATCTGTCAGCAATTCCAGCAATAATTATTAAAATTTTAAGTTATTATAGTGAATATTACAACCGTACTTCTGAAAATATCAGCAAAATTAAGATGATTTAATACGTTTAGATATAATCATACTTTTATAACTCTTTTTCTAAACAGTCAGAATTTTACGGAAATATCGACCTAAAATTAATAACTTATTTCAAAAATGCATGTCTATGTTCTATAAATCACGCGAAATTGTGTCGTCTGTTTCTAGTGCTTTTTTTGGAATCATTAACAACTCATGTAAAATTCTTTTTCTTTTAATTTTTTTTTCAGATTTTCATTAAAGAAATCAACGTCAACAATATTCAAATTTCATGGTTAACGAAAAGTTCTGTAACTAGTCTTTTCTTCAGGAAGTTATGATAAGGCAACACTAGTCTATGTCATCCTAAA